AATGCCCACTAAGATGCCTACAACCTCCTTAGAAACATGTTCACCAAAGACCAAAGTAACACATCATACAACTCAGATATTTCATCCTAAAACTTGATAGCTAGTAAAAGTACTTGAAAACTCCAATCCTGTAATGGTTCACATCCAATGGATCTGAGATACAAGGTAACAAAAATAAGTTACAACTAGAGAGATATCTAAATCTAAATAAGGTTTGAGCATACACGAGGCTTTTAGTCCTTTGACAAGTCGTGTATTCTCAATGTATTTGGCATGGCTAAGAGAAATAAAAATAGTATTTATAACTTGTTCACCTAATATTAAGTTTCCCTATTTTTTTAGGAATCAAACAACCATATAAGTATGTTGGGTGGATTGAGACAAGTGTTTCAATGACCAAGGATATCAACACTTGGTCATCTGGCCTACACCTAGCCAAATGGCATTTCCATTTATCTAATAAGGGGTAGAAATACGATCCAATGAAACTTGGTTATAGCAGATGGTCTAGGTCTTTCTTTTTTGTGAATTCGTTGATTTTAGGTTTTTCGGACACTTGATATTTATATGAGTCGGGTTTCCTTTGTATAGTTTGAGGGGTAAGGTTTCACGTCCCCCCCTCCAAGGTTTTTTTGCATATGAATAAATTTGTGGTGACCAACCCTCCACTGGGAGTAAAAAAAGAAAAGAAAAGAAACAGGATCCAATGTAATCCAATAATAACAGCTTCTCCATGCATAAAAAAAAAACAATTTCAAAGAAACAAATAACTGAATTTATTTTCTTTTCATAGAAAAATAACTAATAATAATACAAGAAAACATAGAAAAAAACTTGGTTGTGTGTGTTGCAATGGTAAAACCAAAAAATAACCAATCTTTCATCAACATGTGGCTTGTCACATAACCACTAAATATTCCAACATGTTGAGGATTAAATGAGGCCCTATGTCCATTCTTCCATCATCTTCCATTTAGCTAGATAGTTAGACTCAAGATGAATAAATGCTAGACAATCCCATTGCTTTCAATGTGTGTCACATAATTTATAACCACGATTGCTTTTGCAAATGGGTCAGCAATCAAATTTTTTTATAGGCATGTATTCAATTAGGATCTCATTCTGTTGGTAGACATTATATATAAATACTAATATTTGAGATGCATGTATGTATTTTCCTTAGAATTGATATCACCATATTTTATTGTCTTAATAGTGGTTTGATTGTCTTTATATATCTTAACTCCTATTAGTGCATTAGGAACTTTGAGTTCTTTTAAGAATCTATTAATCCAAATTGGTTGTAAGGCCACAAAGTTGTACACAATAAACTCATGTTCCATGGAAAACATGGCTATGCAGCTTTGCTTTTATTCTTGTCCATGAGACAAGAGCTCTTCCTAAGAGGAATAAGTACCTGATTGTAGATTATCTATCATCTAAGTTACTTGCAAAATTAGCATCACAGTAACCCAATAATTCCAAGTCATTTACATGGTAAGTCAATTTAAAAATGTTTTGTCAACTATGAAAATCTAAATATTTTTTTAATAGCTTTCTAATGAGTTTTACCTAGATTACTTTGATATTTACTTACACGACCTATAACATATGATATATCCAATCTTGTGCAATGCATTGCATACATTAAACTACCTACAACTTGAAAATAAGATCCATATTTCATTTTTTGCATTTCGTCATCATTAACAAAATTTATATCTTATGGTTTCTTTACAAATTGGAGTTTTAACTCCATTACAATCTCACATGTTGAATTTCCTTAAGATTTCTCTAGGTAATGTTTTTTATGAAATAGTTAAGGATTTCATTTTCATATCCCTTTCTATTTTAGTTTTAAGCATATAACAAGCATTATCTATGTCTTTTATTTCAAAGTTGGTTTTTAACCAATCTTTTGTTTTATTAATCATAGATATATCATTACTCTAGCAATAAGAATGTCATCAATGAAAGAATAATAAAACAACTCTCATTATCCAAAGAATAATCACAATGATTAAAGGGATTATGAATAAATCCAAGTTTTGACATTGCTTCATGAAATATATAGATTTACATTCTAAATGATTGTTGTAAATCATACAATGATTTCTTTTATTCATATACTTTATTTTCTTGTCCTTCTATTACATAACCTTTGGATTTAATTATGTATATTATTTCATTTAACTTTTTATTAAGGAAAGTGGTTTTACATCTAATTGAAATAATTCTAAATCTACAAAAGCAACCAAAGGCATTAAGATTCTAATAAGGGTGAACTTGACAATTGGAAAGTAATTCTCCTCATAATCAATCCCTTCTACTTGAGTGTATCTAAAGTTTAAAATTTTGCAATGTATCAACACATATCAGCCGATACATATCGTTTCGAAAAAAGGCCCAATACATGTAACGTATAGAAAATAGTCCTTACATTTCTTTTCATCTATATTGGGTCGATAAGGCCCGTATTGAACCATTTTGGGTCTGTATATGCTAATACAACCTGATACTTAAATGCATCGGTTAGTACATTACAAATTACTAATTCTTTTTCTTTTATTGCTATTCTTTCTAATTAATTGCTCCCTCTCATTAATTAATTATTCTCCCTCTCTCTCGTTAATTATTTTATTTACTCCCTATTTCATTAATGTTTCTTTTATTACCAATCATTCCAACACCTAATACACATAATTTTGGGTGTAAAAACTAAGTAAGGTATAAGAAAATTTGAACCTTAGTCACTACTTTGCAATGACCATAATTCCACCACTATGCCCAAATCTATTTTGATGTTTAAATTTTGCATTTTTTATCCTTAAATAAACTTTTTCTTTTTAGTGGAAGTTTATAGGGGTGATTATGGGTTAGGTTAGGCCTAAAGTCTTTTATATACATATATAATATTTTATATTAAATGGCATATAATATGCATACAAATCTTTTTGATAATTATATAATATATATTATAAATGTCATATTATAATACTTATATAAAATTCATATATTTGATTCTGAGTTAGGCCAAGTTGAACACAAAACCCAAGCCCAAACTTGAAATTTTTGAGTTAGGCCAGGATGATCACCCCCTAGATGTATGTCAATAAATGCTAAAGTTGATTCTTAAAATTTATATATTAACAAATATTATTAAGAGAAATTATATTGATTATTTGAAAATCAAGGTATATATGTACACATTTTAGTTTTTTTATCTTTTCTCAATAGTTATCGATTGTATCCTGATCTCTCATACTTCATATAAACCATTAAAGTAAGGTTTTTATATTTAAATAACTTATTTATAGTCATATATACCTTGTGCTTTCTGTTATTAATATAGTTGTTAGGATTTATTTGAGTTTCATAGTGTATCTATGTATATCTTGTTTTTCGTCTGTATCTATATGTATCCAAAGCACATTCTGATACATATATTTGCATTTCTGATACCTTGAACCTTGAGTGTATCCCTTTGTTACAAGTCTTGCTTTATATTTTTTCTACAAACTCATTAGCATTTAGTTTTCTCTTTAATATCCATTTACACCTTATAGGTTTCCTATTTTTAGATAAAGCAACAAATTCTTAAACCTGATTTTTATTTATTGAGTTTAACTCTTCTTTTATGGCTCCATGCTATTTTTTTTATCATGTGCTTTCATAGTATCTTCAAAATCAATTGGATCATCAAGAAATTCCTAATTCAATTAAGTATAGTCCAAATTGTATCAAACCTTAAAATTCCACAATGATCCTAGAAGCATAGTCCAAATTATATCAAACCTTAAAATGTTGCGTCCTAATATGGCTGGGCTGGAACATATTTCATCAAAATAGAGAGTTGAAGTGCTAAAATAGGGTGAATTATTCCATCGCATCTAATGTTTCATAACAATAGACATTCCTGGTAGGGTGACCATTCATAGTTTGACCCAGAGCTTAGCCCAACTTGTTCCACAAACTTAAGGTTTAGGCCTAGGTTTTGTGTTCAGGCTTGGTCCAGAATACATACATGTTTGCTATTGCCTTCATATATATGTATAAACATCTAAAGTTGCTAATAACCTCAGTGTTTAGATGGTCACTAGGCACTCTTCCAAATAGAATGTTTGAGATTAAACATGCAGAATTAGACTCTTCATGGCATCGTCTAGGGTAGGTCTGTTCATGGGCCAGGCTTCAGGCCTGACTTTAAACTATGTTGGGCTCGGGCTTCGGGCCAGGCCCATTTAAATTTTAGCAAAAGTCAAACCCAAGCCCAGCCCATAAACAAGTCTAGTCTAGGGTTGAGCAAGGATAGGCAAGTTCTACCTGAAACCGAATGGAACCGAGCTTAAGCAAGTCCTATCTAATCTATTACCTGAGTAGGTTATAGTTGTGATTTGATCATTTTTCTTCAATTTAATATTTGTGTATAATAAATAATGTAAAAGGTAATATTTACAAAATTTAAATTATAATGATAAGTTTTGAATTATATAAATCAAGTTTTTAAAGAACAAATTTCGTTAGTAGACCCTGGTACTATCAGGCTAGAACCAACCTTAAAACCAATCTTGATAGGGTAAGTTCTGCCCAAAAAACCTAGATGGTTCCAAAAACCTAGAACTAACCCCTACAAGGAAGGTTCTAGGTTTTGCCTTGCAACTGAATCCAACTGATCCATACTGATCACCCATTTTTGGAGTTAATTTATTTTTAATTATGAGGGTTGAAAATATAATTTAAACTACAACTTTTCACCTTATTTAATTCCCTCTAAGTTAAACTTGTATTAATTTGTCAAAAACAAAAAATAGGGAAGACCCCCATTCGGTCAGGTGCTGTACAGGTACAGGCATGCACAGAGCATCAAAAGTATGGCAAGAACAAAACCTATACAGAAAAGTTAACCCAATAATTGACTTTAGCGGAGATGTTCGAAAATTTCAGCTAGCTAAAAAGAGAAGATTTGTGGTTGAAGATCCTGCTATTTCTCTCAATCCAAATGCACCAAAATTGCCTGCTTTAGTTTTATTCGAAAAATTAGCTAATGAACACATTAGTCTTTCTGAATCCTGTACAGAGATAAACCTTTTATCAGCTTGGTAGATAACATACTAAAAGATTTGTAAGTTAATGTTATGTTACACATTCTCAAATATGACCTTATGCAACCAAGCGAGCTTCCTCGGTGTCTGGAATTACAATGTCGAGCCTCATCATGGGCTTGTACTTGTCTGGTATTTCTGCACCTGCATGTATGCACATTTCAACAACAGCCGGTGCCTTACCATAGAATCTTTTCAGTGCACTTCGCATAGGAGGGTCGGCTGGGTCTCGTACATGCCATACATAATTTGGTGGGACCACTTCGTCCACTGTTGCATCCTGCCATCCATGCTTCCCATCCCTCCACTGGTGCTTGAATGCCCCGCAAAGCTTTGCATTATGCCCCCATGGCCCCACATGAACCTCTGAGCAATACCCACATACCTTCACAGTGTATTTCTGCATCAATTTTCTCACACCCCATCTCACAGTCTCATAAGCTTTAAGGGTCTCTTGTGCAACCTTAGGCACATCAGCTGCTGCAGGTGGTGGGAATTTTCCAATGTGAGCTCCATATGTATCAAGCTCCATAAGTAGGGAAGATGAATCTACAGAGCGGTCCAATTTGGGCTCCTCAACAAAACCACCTCGGTCAATTACTTTCTTCCCAATCATTCGGATGGGTTTTGTCCTTCTACGAGAAGGATATTCTGGTATATCAACACCTGCTTGGATGCAAAGCTCCACTACTGCTGGAATCCTGTCATAGTCAAACCGATTTTCATGCTTAATGCGACGACCAAAGGGATCATAGAGGTGGTATGATTCGATTGGGATGAGTACATCATTGATGGAGCCCTTGACCCACGAGTGGAAGCTTCTGCGGTGCACATTGTCAGGACCATGACAGTCCTGGATCTCATGACCAGCCTGCCCCACATGAACTTCTGGGCAGTTGCTGAAAAAAAAAATAAACATAAAATTTAGGCCCAGATTACCCAAAAAAATACTTCAAAGGTGAAAAAGATTGCAATATTCTATTGAATAGAAATATTGAAGTACCTGCATCCATAGACAGGAACAACATGCAAGAGCTGTGCAAGACCTTTTATTAGAACTTTCCAAGCATCTAGTACTTCATAAGCAACAGGAATTAAATCAGGTACCAATAATCCATTCTTTGGAGGCTCAAGGGGTTTCTCAATTCCCATTTCAGCAAGTTTCTTGTCAGCCCTTCCAGCCTGCTGGATCTTTTTGAATGGGATTGGATAGGGTTTTTTCTTATTTTTTGGTTGTATGGGTGGGAGGTCCACATTTTGGGGATATATTTGTTGTTTCTTGACTGCTTGATCTTGTCTGGGCTTCCTACCATGAACACACAAAAAATTCCCTGATGTTGTAGGTCCATAAGAATGAAGTTGATGCCCCAACTGCAACTAAAATAAAACCCATGAGTGAGATTTCAAATCACCATAAAGAAGCAGTAAGGACAAGATCATCAACTGCAATAAAAGAAAAATAAATTGTCTAATGAAACCATGCTTGGCAAAACAATAGGATACTTAACAGTGTCATCGACAGGAATCAGAACCATAATCCATAATAGCAATTAGAAATTTAGTGCTAATCCCACAATATTTTCTTTTTTTTTTTTTTTGATAAGCAACATGACTTAAATTAAAAAACAGAAACCCTGTTAATAGAATAGTAGGCAAGGATATAGTACAAGGGCTTCCACAAAACAAACCCAGAACCAAACAGCAAGAATACAAGAAAAACAAAACTACAACATTATAAGATACCACCTAGTCCTGGACAGCCCCATTCCAATTGAAGTTTCTAAACACCATCCCTAGCTAGAGAATTGGCCAAAGCATTAGCACTCCTAGGTACCCAATTGATTGAGATATTCAATATGGAACCCAAGAGTTCTGCCTGTCTTACCAAAGGCCTAAACTTCCACAGGATCAAGTCCTGTTTCTTCAACCAGCAAAAAATAATCCGACAGCCACCTTCTTCCACCTCCACATTTTTTCAAGTCTTATTAGCTTCAGCAACTCCAAACCTGAAATAGAGCTTTCAACTAAGCCCGTAAGGAGTTACCATAGCCCACTGATCCAGAGAAACCGAGTAGAATGCTTCCATTACAGTCCCTGATGACACCTCCAATACCTGAACTTCCTGGGTTTCCAAGGCAACACCCATCAAAATTTAACTTAAGCTTCTCAACTTCTGGAGTACACCAACTGACCACCCTCCTAGAAGCCCTCTCCTGAAAATCAGCTACAGCTTTCCAGCCCCTTAATAGATCATTTAGGGAAACACCTTTAAATTCTTTGGTCACCAAAGCCCAATGGGCAGCTCTGACCTTTGTGAGCTCAATCAAATCCTCCACCTCTCTTGCCTTTAATTCTGGAGTTCCTTTCATTCCACATACTCCAAAGCACAGCCCCCCTAACACATTGCCACAAAAATTTTGTCTTTTTGTGTGACATCTCAATGAAGTTGTGTTAAATAACTTATATCTGTAGGAGGCACCCAGAAGCAAAGGTACAATGCAGTAAAGATGATTAGTGGATTCCCTTTCTCTCATACAGAGGATACATACATGAGGGAGAGAGACCAATTTTTCCGTTTCTTTTGAAGCCTCTCACAGGTGTTAATAATTTGAATGGCTGCTTCCCAACAAAATACTCTCACTTTAGGAGGAATAGAGCTGCCCCACATTTCTTTCACAGGTAAAGGGTTCAAAACTATAGGTAGAATCAAAGTTTAGAAAGAAAGAGGCACAAGAGAACAACCCAACAGTATTAGGTTCCCACACTCTCCCATCCACCCCTAAAGGGTTAAGGATTAATTGTTGGAGAATTTCAAGCAAAGAAGTCAACTCATCCATTTCTTGCTCTCCCACAGCTCTTCTCAAATCCAAATCCCAGACCAACCCTCCTCCATCATGTGTCATAAGGTCAGCAATGCATTTGTTTTTGAAAGAAGGTTGTAGATTCTTGGAAAGGCTTGACAAAAGCTTGAGTTTCCCCACCAGAAGTCTTCCCAAAACTTCACCTTAGTGCCAGAGATAGCACCATACGTCATATGTTGCAAGAAGGTCAGAAGTAAGGTCGTGATTGTTTTCCAAGGACTTCTTAGGGTGAAATTTCATGCAATACCTATATCCCATCCATTAAAGTGAAGTCCATGGATGCTTTTAATAACCAAATGCCACAAAGCCTTAGGTTCATTAGGGAACCTCCATAACCACTTGCCAGGAAGAGCCAAATTTTTTATTTTCACCCTCCCTAAGCCTAGGCCTCCCTCCTCCTTTAACCTACAAACCTTCTCCCAAATCAAGAGGTGGTCCCTCCTCTCACTTCCCAGGTCCCAAAGAAAATCCCTAATGATTTTTTCAATTTTCAGCACTCCTTTCAGGGAACTTTAAAACTGACAAGAAATATATAGGCATGTTAGATAAAGTTGATTTAATCAAAGAATTTATTAGATAAGGAATTTTTTTTGATAAATGGTTTATTAGAATTTATTAGATAAGGAATTTATCCACTGGATCCCCACCAGAATTTACCAAGGGCCATACCTTTGCTCATACAATATGTTAAAATGAGAATTCAGGGCCCCTTCAATTTCATCCTTATCTTGGGTTTCTACACCATTTATTACTAATTTTGCGATCATGTTTTTCTTTCTCTTCCCGTTTGCTACTGAATGGAAGAAATTGCATTTTTTTTATGAATAAAGAAATTGCTACTTCCATCCCCCTCTTTAAGCCACAGACATCTTCATTTCTGTCTTCAACTTATTTACTCTCTTCCAACCACTAGCTCTAGCTCTACTTTTAACTCCACTCTTTTTTCTCTCCTCCTCACTTAAACCCCTGCCTCCTTCCACCTCAGTCAGATCTAACATTTCAAATCTTACCAGTTGCATTTTGGGATGGAAAGATAATATCTTTCCCAGCGCTGGCAACCAGTATTTGAGGAACTAAACCCACAATATAACAACATGAGCATGGTTTCATGGAGCATATTAGGGGCTGTTGCTTGATTTAATGAGAAAATCTCACGCTGAAAAGCATGGGAACATGGAAGCAACTACTTTGACATAAAAAACAAAACAAAACAAAGTTTTGGTCCATAACCAGTCAACCTTTCCCAAGACCCCAGATAGCTGGCACAAAGCTTTGGTCCCTGCAAGCTTACCTCTGAATGGAAGGAAACTTAAAATAATTCCTAGACCTCGCATTGGCAGGAGCCTTGTTCACTAGGCTGCCCTTTTTTTACTACCAGGCTACCAGCCAATCATGTATAATCAGAATTGCTTAAAGAAACTAACATGAACATACCAAATAAAAGCATATACTTTAACTATTTTATATAACTACAAGTAAAGATAACCATTATCTATCAAAAAAACCACAAGATAAACAAAGCTAGTATACAATAGCAGTTTGGAGATAATAGAGATGTATTAAAGCAAATTAAATGGTTACAAAGGAATATTGTGATAAGCTATTTGTAGGTACCCAGGTCGGCAAATGGCTTGTCCGACAACTTTGGCCAAGCAATGGTTAAACAGGGGGCAGCGGCCGTTATGGGCTCAATTGTAATTATTCTCTTTCTTTTTTCTGGGTGAGGTAAGCTTATCTTACCTAGAAAAGTGGGTTGCTGTTTTCTTTTCTAGGCTCATTTATTTTTATTTCTTTCTTTTCTGGGTGAGATAAGCTCATCTCCCCATGGGCTAATATTTCTTTGCAATATCTCCTGTTTATACTAATAAAATATGTTACTGTTATCTATGAAAATAATAAGTTTACACAAATAGATAAGCTCAGAAGAAGCCATACAAAAAACCAAAAAGTTAAGGGGAGAGAGAGAGAGAGGAAAAAAGAAACCATCTCCCCAAGGTCACCCTCCCTAACAGAAAAGAAACTGAGTTGAGACAACCCAGAGGAGTATGGCCCTCAATTGACTTGTTGATGGCTAGTTGATGCTTTGGTAGCACCAGATAGTCACTCTAACAGAGATGGTATAAATAATAGTGTATTTTCTATCAAAAAAGAAATCTTATATATATTTAAAGGAAAGGGGAGGATCTGTCAGCCCCTTTCCTTTGTTTTCCTACTCTAAAACTAACTAAGAAGTAATAGTTACTAAAGGAAATCCTAGTTAACTTAAAACTATGAGTTTGACTTTGACAACTATAGGACAAAGACATCTCATTCTTCCCTTAGACACCATTACATTTTGGCAGACTTTTCTAGTTTTGCAACTCCTTCAGATGATGTACATATGAATCATTAGTAATAAAACCTTTCATGGGTGAAAAGTAAAATCTCGGTTAATTGGACCAGAAAACAATTAACAAAAAAACAAAACTGATTAGTTGAACTGAAGGGGAAAGAAAAGTTTTAGTCCCTAGACTAGTTACAAGACCATAAGAAATGCCCATGTAAGATTATATTCACTGTTAGTAAGATAGTAACAGAAAAATGCTAGTTGGCAAATCTGGGAGTAAGACCACTCTTATGAAGAAACATCATGTTAATCAAACTACAACCAATACATTATGCAAGTTAGTTTTCCAAAGGAAACACATTTAGGAATGAAAAGCATTATATACAACAGAGTTTCTCTGCTCTTAAGAACATGTCAGATTATTAGCTTCTGTTTCACCATAAAAACCATCTTAAGTGAGTGTTACATGAAAACACAATTATATCAGGACTGAATCCCTGACTAACATCAATGTAATAACATCATAGAAACTAATTTATTTGTCTAATCCTTAAATTAAGTCAATACTTATATAAAAAAAAAAGGTCAAGGATGACATAAGCTGCAACTTTGACAAGAAATTTCGTTGAATGGATTGCAAGTCATTTCATACCAACTGGTCTTGAAAACAAATAGCTAATACCCAAACCAAATATATCAAATATCTCCAGCTATTAAAGAAACAACTGACAAGGGAAAACTTCATTGTCCAGTTAATAATGGCTATTAGTACCAGCACTTAACTCATGAGTTTGATCAGAGCTTATCAACCAAGAGCTAACTGCTAACCATTGTCTACTTTCAAAAACAAACTTTACCACCCCCCCCCCCCAAAAAAAAAGGCAAAAATAGCACAAAACAAAAAGAAAAACCAAAGTTATAGAAGTACAGGGCAGAGGAAGCAACCTTCGATACAAGACGTTTAGACCTTAAATCAGCTATACATGGCCTCTTAAGCTCCACAAAACCAAAGCAAACACCTGAAACACAAAATTGGTATTTCAATTTTCAATCCTGATGGGCAATTTCTGACTAAAACGACGACTCAGGGTCATTGCCAAATGGGCCTCCCAAATTTGGCCAAAAAGGTCGATATAAACTAGACAGTGTTGCAATCACTGCCAAGTAGCTCACTTGGAAGCTGATATGGAGTCGCCTCTCATCAAGTGAACTGGAGGTGATGAGCCCTCCAAGTATTATATTTGAAATCTAGTTGGTTCAATAGTGACTCCATACACAAGGGAATCGGTTTAACCCGTCCATGTAAGACTTGGATGGAAGAGGGAAGGGGTTAGGCACCCCTCTCCCGTTTCCAGCAGGTGGGACCAAGAAAACATGGGGGACCCAAAGCAAATACAAGCATGAGCAAGATGATAAGAATTAACTAATGTATGCATCAAGTATATCAAATAACATACAACAAAGAAATTAACAACATAAGAGGTGAGTCGAATTAATCATTTATTTGCAATGAAGATTCCTATAAAATGAGACTTCACAACACTAAGGTTGTTTTTGGTACCATTGCTGTTTCTACCTGAAATGTTTTGGGTTGATCAATACAAATTGGTGAGAGATATGTGTTATCACATTATATTTGAGAATTACTTAAGATAAAATGGTTAGACTTCACCTCCTGGAGCAAGAAACACCAATTTCATGTTTTGAGAAACAGCCTCACACATGAATTTTTAAGGTATGCATATTTCAACCATAAGTAGCCTAAAAATAACATTTGTAGGCAAATTTATATTGATTAACCCAAAGTTTCAGGTATAAAAAGTAATTGTACCTAACACAACCTGAATAAGAACTAATCAATGATATGTGAAGATAACCACTAAAATAAAAAAAAAAAGGAAAATTATTTAATAGCTTGGAAAAGAGGAACCAATCATTAACCCTAAGATGAAAAGTTATTCAATAATGTATGAATTAACTTCTAATTCTAAAATGAGACTACCCATGAGCATTGGTGAGAATAATGAAAGGAAGGAAAACTTAATGACCTAAATGATAGTTGCTAATTCATGAAAGTGAAAATTATCAAAAAAAATGTAAGAGGGGAATTATCTAAATTAACTAAAAATGGGGATTAACTGAAATTATGGGAATTACTCAATACCATAAAAGAGAATCCAGAGATAGCAATATTTAATAAGGAAGAAAATGAAAACCGAAAATGCTAGTATTAACTACTTCCTATTAAATTTCTAGGCATTAACAAAAAAGGGGAGCCATTCAATTATCTGAAACAAGAACTAATTAATAAAATGAAAATTGTCAATCTCGTAAGATGAAGATTTTTCAACGAGATCAAAATTATTTACAACCTAAAAAAAGGAGAATTATTCTGTAACCTAAAAGGCTTACTCGAGTTAACTAAGGAAGCCAAAAACTACATAAGCTAAACTAGTCACAAGAACCGAACCTAATCAGTTTGATTGATGCCAAAGAAGAATCAAAAGCAAATGGATGAATAATTCTATCTATTCTAATGAAAATGAGAGTAAATATCAGAAGTAAACCGCACACTACCCTGCAGTGACTAATGTTTCATGCGATAGAGCTAAAATGATAAATAGGGGAAAGCTAAATTGAAAAAAAAAAAAAGGTAAAGAATGATACCTGGAAAGCTACCCGAAACGTAAAGCAGAAACGAAATGGAAATCCAGAAATGTACTCAGACAAAGACCAATCAACTGTGGAGAGTTAGTATAGGTCATTACCGGGATTAAATGGGTGGGGTACGTTCAACCCGTATGTTGCCTTCATTCAACAGTGAGCTAGAATATGATATGGGATTGCGATAGATCGGATTTTCGTCTGAGAAATGAACGTGTCTGATGGAGCTTCTACAGGTACCGGGAGTTGACTGTTGGCAGGAGACTGTAATGGAGGTGCCGGCGGTTGACTGTCCGCGGAGGATGGAGGTTCTTCAACAGGTTGGGGCTGGATAGAGCCACTTTTCTGCCGCTGAGGATGGAGCCGAATCAGCTAACGATGCAAGCAGGTGGCTGGCGTTTTGATTAGTGGATATACCAAAAGGAACCTCACGTACGGTGGTAGGCAAATAGTGCTCGAACCGGTGCTCAAACCATGGACGGAGAAGCAGTAGCTGATGACAATTGAAAGGGCCGGCTTGCAGTTGCAGAGTGAAGTAGATGACTGGTGTACCGAGACGAACCGGTGGGGAAAAAATCTTTAGATTGTGTAAATAGGTAATTTTTGGATCTTTTTCGGTATTTTAATAATTTTACAAGAAAAAGGTTATCACCGGAATCCCATTTCGGTGGCAGGGATTTCTTGGTGATTTCTAGATGATGGAGATGGGTCTGAATGTCTAGAACAGTCTAAGAATCTTGGCCAACGAGATTGTTGGAAAGAGAATCTTTTTTATATAGGGTACAGGGATGGGTTTCTCCAAACGTTTCGGATGCTTCATTTCGAAACGTTTCCGCTTCTGCTCCGTTTCATGTACAACGGTGGGAACTGAGCTTGCATTGTATCAACTATCAACTATCAACCCATTGAGTAGTATATCCGAACTCGTTTTCCTATTCTGTTATGTTGAGTATATTTAAGGTTTTGTATTTCCAAACACTCCCTAGAAAGAAAAAGTTAAGTTAGCCTTGTTCCAAATGAACCTCCATAAAGCTCCAAGTCCGGATGGTTATACAGCTTTCTTCTTCCAGTACTATTGGAATTTGGTTGGTGATGAAATCACAAGTATGATCCAAAGTTTCTTTCACTCTAAAAAACTGCTAAAACAGCTAAATCATACTAGTCTTATTTTCATATCAAAGAAGAGGGGTGCAGAGAAAGTGGAACACTTTAGGCCAATTAGCGTGAATAATGTGCTTTACAAAATCCTGGCAAAGATCCTAGCCAATAGAATAAAGCCTTTACACCCAGACCTAGTTCAGCAAAATTAGGCAGCCTTTGTCAAAGGAATGAGCATTATAGAGAATATCTTCTTAGCAAAAGAGATCATCCACAAGCTCAAAACTCAGAAAAGGAAAGGGAAGTGGGTAGCTTTGAAAATTGACAGCCAAAGCCTTTGACAGAATGGGGTTTAGATTTCTCATAGAATCTATGAAAAAAATGGGCTTTCCAATAGCTTGGTGTGAGTTAATCTGGCAATGTATTTTCACTCCATCCTTCTCAGTCAAGCTAAATGCGTCTTCTTTTGACTTGTTCACCACTAAAAGAGGCTTAAGGCAAGGAGACCCCCTCTCTCCATGCCTTTTCATTATTGGAATGCAAACCCTCTCAGCCCTCCTGTATAGAGAAGAGAGTCTCTCAAAACTCTAGGGAATAAAACTTGCAAGAAACTTAGAGCCCATCGCCCACCTCTTGTTTGTAGATGATTGTTTTTTGTTCTGCAAAACTGACCATGAGTCCTTCCACTAGATCAAAACCACTCTCAGGCTATTTGAGCAAATCTCGGGGCAGCACATAAACTTTGCAAAATTTGGAGTCATGTTCAGTAGAAATATGCATAGAACCCACCAAAAGCTGTTGAGCAGAATAATAAATTACAACACCAAATATCTTGGAACCTGGCTAGCAGAAGGAGAAAATGGACTCAGTAACACCAACAAACATCTAGCCGATTGCACCTCTCAGAAGATAGAACACTAGCAAGCAAAAACCCTCTCCCAAGCTAGCCGTACTACTCTCATCAAAGCAGTCGCCCAAAAGCATCCCTGTGTACATCATGCAAACAAACCTCCTTTTCATAGGTTTTTGTAGAAAACTGGATAGACTACAAAAAAATATTTGGTGGGCAGGAAGATCTGACATAGCTATAAATTGTAACATGAAATGGTCTACAATCTACTCTCCCAAAACCCTGGGAGGGTTGGGGATAAGGAGATTCTCTCCAATGAATAAAGATCTAATGTTGAAATCAATCTGGAGGCTCTTAAATTTCAGAGACTGCCTTTGGGCCCAGCAACTAGAAGCAAAATACATTAAAGGAAACTATTTCCTTGACTTGAAAGCAAAAGCCACAGACTCGGATTAGTGGAAATGTATCATCAAATTAAAAAATGAACAAAAAGCTCATTTTTTCTAGAAGCTTGGAGATGGAAGAACTATCTCAGCATTCTTGGACCCCTGCGTGCCCCAACTAGAGAGCATTGTCCCAGCCAAAAGAACTGAGAGCCTAGAACCTCCACACTTAAAAAGTGTGTGAGTTAATCATAGATCATCAAACCTGGAATGTTGACATCTTCAACAACTATTTTGAAGATAGAAGTGTGGAAGCAATTCTAAGCATTCCCTTAAGGACTTCGCAGCAACCTGTATAGAAAGATTCAAAGAATGGGGAATTCACTGTGAATTCAGCCTATCACTCACTTCTAGTAACCACACTACAAACTCAGTCAAGTATAGTGAGTTGGTCCAGAATCTGGAAGAATCCATGCTCCCATAGATGTCAGATCTTCAGGTGGAAGTTCATCCATAAAGTTGTTCGAACAAAAATAGAAATATGGATCTGTAGAAGAAGAGAAGACACTTAGTGTACCTTCTGTAAGGAATCTCTAGAAACCCAAGAGCACCTCTTCTTGGAATGCCCTCTCTTAAGGGCTGTTTGGATGCAATCCCAAGTTAGACTTGTGCCAGAGGCTTTTCTAAGCTTTGGACAAGAAGATCTGATCCAATGGTGGTGGCAACATATTACTCACTTGCATAACAAAGACTTAAAGTACAATTATATTGCAAAGATCTGTGCTATCTTCAGAAGTTTATGGGATGCAAGAAATGACCAAAATTTTAATAAAGTGAAACTAGACCCACTTCAAGTTCTGCGAAAGGTTGATAGTTATTGCACTTTTAAAGAAATTGAGCTTCAAATTTCAAACTCTTTATAACAACAAACAATTTGGGACTTGCATCAGGCTCTTCTCACAAACCTCCCGATCATCTTAGTGGATGGTTCATGGAGCACCTCCACGCAAACTGCATCCACTAGAAAATTTATGTTCTCTCACAAGTCTCCTCTTCTCATTGTAGAAGAACAACCATGCATGGCAAGATCACTAGTAGCAGCTGAGCTCTAGCAATAATTAGAGGCTTACGCAAGTTTTTTTTGTATGAGTGTTAAAGAAAGTTTTTTGCTATTGATTGCTAAGGAGGTTCTTGTGAAGCTAAAAGGAAATAGGAAAAACATCATGTGGGATCTGCAGGCCCTATATGAACATATATATGAATTACTCTTATTTTTTTATAATGTCAAAATTTCGTATGTAAACGGAGAGATAGTAAAACCAGCTCATGATCTGGCAAAGCGAGATAGACTCCCAAACTCTTTTGTGAATAACACTCACATCCCTGTGAACTTAGCTCAAAGTTTTTTGGAAAATTGTAGAAAGGGGACCCAAATGTTCCCGTGATATTTTTAATGGACCCGTTTTTTACTAAGAGAAAAAAGGAGATCCATTTTAGTACTCACACCATTTGCACAACCTTTTACAGTCATGCATCAGAAATATCTCATCCCAATACAAGGTTGAAAGATACTGTGCGAACGGTGTAAATACGGTCTTGTGAAGATCAACCAATTTCGTTTTGAAGAGAATGAACAAAAAAAACGGTTCTATGGGAACATCAGCCTTTCTAATCTGGATCTCCGAGCAGAAAATTACAGCAATTATGCCATATTTGGTTCAATTCTCATTCTTTCTCATTATTGTCTAAGATGAAATTCTAAAATAGATAAGAATGGGTAAAAATAGGCATAAAAATACTTTGACAAAAGTGCTTTCATAAAAGTGCTTCCATAGTAGTCTGCTAATAAACGTCTGTAGCAGCAGTTTTGTAGAAAGAGTTTTCTCAAAGAATAAAAATGAGCAAGATGGGGTACCTCAATTTTTGTGTTATGGGTTGATTTTCATTCTAAAAATAATGTGGCCCATGGCAAGAATTTTGTAACCAAACACTCCAATGTTATTTGTTTTTGCCTTGAATGAGCAAAAATTAAAAGAATGATGCTTAGAGAAATGAACCAAACATGGCCTAAGTGAAGATATTTGAATTGACCGCTAATGAGATAAGGTTTTGTCTACAGATCTCAAGTTTATGTTAAGTCCCTTTACTCGAAGTGTCCAGCTAAGAGAGATGCTTGTAGAGAGTACACAACTGAAAAGAGCATATAGAAGCAATAGAGAGACATAAGGAATCATCATATCTTTCTCTCCTTTTTGCCTATTTCTCCTCTTCTTGTTGGTGTCCATGTCCCATGGTTGTAGGGGTTTCGAGAGGTTGAGTTCAAGGTTTAAAATTTTGCAATGTATCGGCTCGTACTGGCCGATATGTATCGTATCTTTTAATATCTGGCATGGGGAACGATACTAATTGATATGTGACGTTCCTTTTCATTGTTTCAAGCCCGTATTAGGGATGTATCGTATTGGTATTGGGTAGCTTCAGCCTATTTTGTGTGTGTGTAGCAGTCGATACATGACGAATTACTATGTTGCGAAAACGAATTTAAACCTCATTCAAAAGAAGGCTTCTAAACCCACTTTAAAAGCCTTCTTTCTTCTCCAAACTCACCAAAAATGTTTTTTTTCATTCCTAGAGACTAATATCTACTAAAAATATGCCAAAAAACACCACAAATTTGTGAGATCTAACAAGTTTTTTTTTTACAATGAGTGAAAAATTGGTATATTTTGTCAATTTCTTTGTCAATATAATGCAATATTATGGTTTTTTTCTTTGAATATTTAGAAACATTTCTATGTATGTTAATCTACTTCATTTGTGTTAAAAATCCAACCTCTTTTGCTACTAGAAGTAGATCTTTATGAATTTATGAAGAAAAATACAAAAAACCAAAATTAAAAAAAAATTGTGTTTTTGTTGTGATCTATTTGTAACTAATGATTATGTTGTAGATCTATGGATGATCTACCATATCCATAGATCTACTGAATTTTTTTCTAAAATACTTTTTTTTTTTACTTCCATTATTAGTTATAATTTGGACAATATTTTTAGGATCAATTTCTTCAGCCATTGTATTCATCAATTTATAAACATATTGTACATCATGCAGCTCATGTATGCATCAATAGATTTGTGGGATACCGTTTGTCCATCATTCTAAAAATATTTTGAAATGACCTTAATTTCAATTCAGCCACTTCTTCATCTAAAAACTTTTCCATTACCTCATAAGTTATAAGCCCCTTCAAACCTCTT